TACGGACAGAACTGCGTAGGATTTGAAAAAGAGATATCACAGAAGTGATTGTGAGATACTACGAAGTATTGTTGACGCGAATTTGCATGATTAAAAGTGTTAAATTACCTCTTATAGCGTGGGCCTTTATTGTTCAACATGGCTTTCGTATCGTTACCTGAAAGTGTACTGTAAGCGAAAGAATGAGGAAGAGGGCAAAAATTTCAGTAGATCTTGTGAATAATGAAGAGTTTACATACAAACAGAATTATCCACGCAAGAACGAATTTTTTACGCATAAGTTGTGGAGAAGAAAAATTATTGATTATGATGTCAAACACTGCATAAAGACAATGAAGCTGCTGACCCAAGACCCGAATCTAAGCCAAACGGTCATACTCATCCGCCAATTTTCATCACTACATACTCCTACTATGAGTCTAGCTTGAGGGCATAGATTGTCAGTACGTTGTTTCATATTTAATTCAAATTATTGTACTTTTAAAGAAATACAGATATTTATATTATCAGGCCCAAACACAAAGCGTTTAACAGTGTTTCTAACATGCCCTTCTCTTGACTCCTAAGAACTTAATCTATATCTGTTCTGTTTGGGTAAACACCTTACGCTGTTCTAGAAAAATGACAATTGCAGGGTGAAATGAATGTTTGTAAATTTCATTTCGCCTCTTGCAAATCCAATGGGTAGACCTATCAGGAGCTCTAACTTCGGATAAACCTTTAGCTTTCAAATTTCTCCTCACAATAATGTGTGCTTGTTAACGAAAACTCGTTTCGCAGTGCTTATTGGAAAATTTTTACATTTATGTATGAAGTTCATGTGTCCTACCGAATTTAGTGGTAGGGCAAAAAGAAGCACAGCTGAGTCTAAAGAGAATTGTAACAGCGGCGAGACAAAAAAGAAAAATAGTTATATAGCTCCAACTCTACAGAAGAGGATGAGATCTTTAAGTTTTGGCAGACCGCGCAAAATGGTAAAAGACCATCGATTGCGTAGGAATTCATCACACTGGGATAAAAAGGAGGGTACCTTAATACAATAACCTATTCTTTGATAACTCGTAAAGTTAATAAGTTCAATTTGATCCAAATTTTTATAACTTTAATTGTTACATCCTTAAACAAGATTTTCAGTATAAATTATCCTAGACTTTTGGACGAAAAAATATTTTGAAAAAGATAAGTCAGTATTCTGTTCCATTTTTGAACTCTACGCTGTGCTTCATGTTTTGAATTCAGGAAATTTGCAAGAATACCTGCATATAGAACAATTCCTTCAACAAAATCCGTGTTCTTGACCACACATCCACGAAGAAGCACATTCTCCTTAGCCAGAATAGTGAACTCACGGGGAAGTGGAGCTCCTGAAACAAAATGATTTCTGCACGAGAGGTCCCGCAGGAGTTATGAAGTAAACGAATAGGAGCTAAATC